CGGACATCACACCTTTCTTCGATGAAGCGCATGTTATTCGCACCACCCAACACACGGAACAACTAAGAACTTTGGAGGCACTGGAAATATTTAAAGCCGATCGTAAATCCGCATGCATTAATTTCAAAGAAGAAATAAATCTCTCTGCAGCATGGCAATTTTTAATTGACGATAAATCATAATATAGTTTATAAGACAAGTTTTATGACGTAATGCACACAATGATTCCCCATTGGTAGAAAATTACATTTGAAATAACAAGTGGATTCCTTCCGTTTTCGGAATTTTTTCGAAAAATAGCACGTTACGTTTTTTCAAAAACATTCGAATTAAAGAATCCGGTTATAACGAAAGATATAAAGAAGTAAGCCTGAAGAAGATCCCAGGAGGGGAATCGAAAACGTTCGCCGATTTTAAAGAATTTCGCACCGGTTAATGGTTAAGGGTAGACAGTTGTTGGTTGTGAAGTTATACAACCCGGTGTGGTAAGAAAGCATATTAATTAAGTTATAGCTATGCCAGCTAATATTTACCGTAAAGCGGTAGTAGCTCTTACAAAAACAAGAGCGAGACTGGATTTTTTAATGAAATGTAAAAGCAATGGGGTATTTCCAATGACAATTTTCCGTGTGCACCTTCCCACTGGTAATGAACCCATTATTAATAAGGTGAGATGGATGTGTTTAACAAGAGCTATTAGACTCACAAGAAGGAAAGTATATTCTTTGATTGCCAAGATTATTCGTATAGAAGATTCCTTATATGCTAATGATATATAAACTAGTAATATATAGTTTATTCTCATTTTTTATTGGTTGAGGTTACTTTGAATGTTGTTCTTCACAAATATCAGCTTAGAGTTGCACAATAGCATGAGGCAGAAAACAGGAAAATAGAATTATGTTGTCAAGGGCCACATATTAGGACCATATAGGCAGCAGGTTGTTTATCATGATCTAGATAATATATACAATCAGTGGCAGATTTCTGCAAAGGTGCATGTCTGGAGCCTCAAAATTCAGCTCTCGAAATAAAAAAAAATTATTTTAATTATTATTATTTTTTTTATGATAAAAATAATTAATAATTTAGCAGTATTCTCTAAATTAAATTACCCTTAATTGTTTATCAAACAATAGTGAAATGTATTATAATAATTTACAAATTTTTATTATTCATATGTTACTAGATTTTTGAAATACAATTTAAGTAGAAAATTTAAACATAAATTATTTTTTATATCTATGGAGTACAAGATTATTTTTTTCTGTTTTTAACACTTACCTATTTAAACTTAATAATTCTTGTACCAATAAGTTTCAATTTTCATAATTAATACAATCTGAATATCGGTAACCTTTTAAATACAGCCAGGCAGTTGTAATTTTATATTGGTTAATTTTCAATGTTATTTCCCTATGTCTCACTGTTTTTTTGGGCCACTGGCAGATGCATTTTTTTCCTCCGGTAGGCACTGTTGCCTATTGGAGTAAAAAACGTGCATAGAATGCACATTGTAGGATGTAGGGGTAGTGAAAATATTTAGAGGGGGCCTCAAAATTGAATTGTGCCTGGGGCCTCTCAAGTGGGAAATCTGTCACTGTCTTCAATGAGTGAAATTAAACTGGACAAGTAATATATAATTGAAGAATGTCTTGAACTTGACAAAATCTTAATGAATCATTTGTAGGAAGATTTTTATGCATAAGCAACTTATTACAAAGTACAGTTTCATTTTAAAGTCATAATGTTCTGAATAAAGCTTCAGAATCTTCATATTATCTAAAATTAAAGATACTTAATGGCTAGATCAGGACGTAGGGATCTTTAGAGTTCTGTAATGTCAAGACTGTTCGGACTCAAATGGGAGAATGTGCATTCTGCCATCTGAGTCCATTCAAACTACATACTAATGCTATTGTTAATAGTGCAAATAGTTGATTTTATTTGTAATAAAAAGCTGTTTTTATGTCAATGCAGTTTTCTGATTAAAATGTTTTTTGATCTGCAGCTGCATTCCATATCATAGGGATATAAGGCTTCATGTAGTATTGAAGGTTGTATAAGTGTGTATAGTACATTAAGCTTCAGTTCTTAAAAAATATAAGTGTATGTTATTATATTTACATAGTTTTAACTGAAGATATTTTCCTGTTCAATATTTGCTGCTGTTAGTTTTTTTTGTCATCAGGTTTCAATAGAAACAACAAAGGGATTTGCTGTTGTTAGATTTCCTGCTTCTTCTCTAATGAATCCCTACATAAATTGTAATCATAAAAAGGCAATTTATTTTTGTCTACAGGTCATGAACCTTAATGCTCTTGTTAATGTGTCTTGCCAAATTTTTCAAATTGGTGTCACATAATAGCAAGTGTTTTAAGCTGTTTTTTAAAATAAATTTAATAATAATTATAAAATTTAGATATAAAATATAATAATGGAAATAGATCTGGCATATTAAATTTAACAAACTTGCTAAAATTGACTCCTGAAATCTGCTAAATGTATATTAATGAGAAACTATAGAACCTAATTGTAATTACTTTGGACTTGCCTTTGGCTTTGGACTTAGGCCACTAATAACAATGACTGACCAATAACATCAAATGGAGTAAGCAAGCAAGACTACAATAAACAAAAATTTAGTGACTTTAATGACTGATATCAAAAGGACATGTTAAAACAATCTAAGTTATACACTTTTTAATTATAACTATTAACATCTAATTGCTATTGCTTTTCAATAATAGTTTGTATATAAGTGAAGTAAAAAAAAGTCAGAAATTTACACTATTATATTATAAAGAAATAGGAAATCAAGTGACATTTAATGCTTAATGTGCTTGTTAAAACATGACATACAATCATTCAGTTATTATCAGCCACATATTGAATCTGATAGTGCAAAAATTATTTTAAAAATACAATGGGGGTGCTACAGCATGTCCTTGATACCAAGGAAAACAGTTGTGTGTTCTATTACATTAAAATAAACATATTGCATGTAATTTGTATAATTTATAATTAATCTACAAATTCAAAATTATCAACTATCTATTTTTATCTTTTTCAATAATTTTAAAATGCTAACAAAAAAAGAATGATGTAAACTTGGTTATCTCTAAGATAATTGAGTAACATTCTCCAAAAAATGGCTTTGGATATGCACCTTTATTTTTGGATCAAATTGAGTGGCACCCATATTTGAAAAATCTTGGATACATCACTGAGAAATACTTATTTACCTGAAGATAATAATGAGGAAAACATTGTATTTTAACTTACATTTTAGGACTTTTTCTTACTTTTTTCATGGAGTACAAAAATACTCTGTAATCACCAGTATAGTATGTACTAAAATAATATGTGCTAATAATATGCAAACTAATAATATATAGTTTATTTTTGTCTTTTTACTGGTTGAGTTTAGTTTGAACGTTCTTTGTCATGAATGTTAGGTTACTTTAGGTAGCATACTGGCCTGAGACAGAAAACAGGAAAATAAAGTTGGGTTTCCAAACCCCAGTGGTCTCATATCAGGACCTCACAGGCCACATTCGGACAAGGGTCACAGGCTGCTTATTACTATAATAGATTATCAGAGAATTGTATCTTCTTCCTTTGTATGTAAATAAACTAAAAATGTTATGAAACCTACCTACCTTCATCTGTGTGTTGTTTCCAAGCTAATAGTTAACTTTAATATTAATCTATGCATCTTCATGCAGTGTGGAGCATAATCACCTGATTGTTTTTGGAAAAGCTTTACACCCACGAGTTCAATCACAAATTTTGTCATAAATGATGCCCAACAGAAGTAGTTTAAGATATTATTTTCAAGACAATTGAGGCACTGTCTACAACAATTTTTTATTACCGGAAGGGGAATGATACATATTACTGAAGTGTAAAATTTATTATGGGTAACTACATGATTCTTAATCTTTCATTATTTTTCAGGCAGAGAAGATGAACACCATTCTTAAAGCTGCCAATGTTGAGGTTGAACCCTACTGGCCCAGTAAGTTTAGAAATCTTAAATTTGTAGATTCCATTAATGAAAATGTGTATAAAACAAGTGATTCTGTTTATGCTTATGAGCATGTGCATATTTATGTAACATAGATACAAATACACAAAATATGTTTAAGATTAGATTTGTTTATAATTTGATTTTAGTACATTTTTGAGGTTGGCTACTATCACTAGAATTAGTGTTTATTGCTTTTATCTTACTCTGAAAATCATCTAACAATAACTTAAATGTAGATAATTTTTAGTTTAATATATAGAAAATTAAAGTAGAATATTGGATTAATTAAAAGCCATTAGAAATAGATAAATAAATAAAACTCACGCCAAAATTGTATAGCTTCTTGATAAAAAGTACTGAGTTCAGCGTTAATATGATTTTTCTTATATCGCAAGTACTTTCGACGAGTATTATATCGTCGTCCTCAGGCGAAAAAAGAACAAATTACCAAACGTTATAATTTAGAAATTGACAATAAAAATTTTCCGTTTTCTACTTGGAACACTCTGCACGTTCTAATTTTCAAATTTGTTCTTTTTTCGCCTGAGGACAACGATATAATACTCGTTGAAAGTACTTGCGATATAAGAAAAATCGTATTAATGCTGAACTCAGTGCTTTTTATCAAGAAGCTAAAAGCCATTGTCATAAACACTGACTTAACTGGTTGAAACTTTACTTTCAGCGTTGTTTGCGAAAGCTCTGGAAGGAGTTGACTTGAAGCAGCTTATCACAAATGTTGGATCCGGAATGGGAGCTGGAGGAATGGGTCTCGGAGAGGGCGGTGCTCTTGCACCTGCAGGTGGCGAAAGCGCACCTGCTCCGAAGGAAGGTAAGGACAAACACATTACATTTACTATGCTTCATAAATTTTAGAATGTTATGTTCAAGCAAAGAAAATTCTAATTTGTCTCATTACATAATATTTCAGAACCCAAAGAAGAAAAGAAGGAAGAGTCTGAGGAATCTGATGAAGATATGGGCTTTGGTATGATTGTTTGCTTTTTAATAATTTTTTTTAAAGTCTGTATGAAATCTTAAAAGAATATTTTGTGAATTTATAATCATTTTATAATAAATATTATACTTTTTTATAATAAAAAAGATGTGTATAATTGAAAGATAAATTACAAAGTTTGTCAATAGATAGCAAGATGATAGTTGTTTGCATAGAAATGCCAATAAAATATTTTTAATAAGGTAGAAGCTCTGTGCAATTAGATGTCAATACTTAGTCTATTAGTTTAGGAAAGGAAAAATGACATGCAACACAATTCAAAAGTCAGTTAATGAAGTTAAATATTAAAATTACTTTAAGAAAGATTGAAACTGATTCAGTTACTTCATTTCATTGAATGTAGTGAAATTACAGACCAGTTTTAACTGTTAAAAAGTTGTAGTTAATTGATTTTACAGCCACTCTGCACTTTATTTTTGATTAAAAATTTTTATGAAATGTATAAAAAGTGTATAGAGCAGATGATTGTGACAATGCATCAATCAGCATTTCATTTAACATCTTGCACATCTTAAGAATTTAAACTTTATGATGAATTCACAACTTTTCTTAAGCTGTTTTTCCCCTCATAACTTTTCCTTTGCCAGAATTGCAGGGTCCTCTTTTTACTTGTAAGGGCACAAATTAAGTCTGCCATTTGCATTCCTTGAACACACCAGCCAGCTCCATTTTAATTTGGGTGCTCTCATAATGGGCAAAACTATGGCTGCCTTTTTTTAATGCTTTGTCCAATGTCTTGCATTAACAATTTTAAGCACTTAGGAGAATAGCTTTCCAAATTTTAAATAAATGCAATATTTTCAAAAATTAATTTATGCTTGTACTTTGGAACACCTTTTGTGCATTTTGGCATTATCTCAAAATTATGTAGGTGGGATTATTTCACACAATTTAGGCTGCATTCAGATAGATAGGCTCGTCTTACATTGTATTATGTGGGGTTGACCAAAGAAAGTTATTTAAGGCATTGCAAATAATGCCTTCTTTGATTGACCAGATGTAATGTAACATAAAGGAGAGCCTGTCTGAATACAGCCTTATGCCACAGCTGCTTTGTATATTTACCTGCTTCATGTTTGGAATATTTGTATGTTAGGTTTCTGTTCATCAATGTTTATTAATGTTAATTAGCTTTGTGGTGTGCAGATAAGTTTATGGAAAACCATCAGTTCTGAATGGGTTTATGCACGAGTCAAATTACTGAGAGACCAATCAAAAACTGGATGTGATACTTCAAAATAATCATACTAAACCCAAAAACATCCAGCAGGAAGAATTTTTGCTGGATGTTCAAATTATTGATACTGTTGTTTACTAAAATCTTCTTACGTGAATACTGGAAAGCATATAAATTAACACTCCAAAACCTTTAAACGTCCAGTAGTAATCAATTTAATAATAATCAAACGTTTTCGACTGTACTTTCGATCTTCATCAGGTTTAAAAACCAGTTAGATTCGAACCTGTGCAAGCGTAAAACAATGATTATGAAATTATTTTGAAAAATGGAACAGCACAAACGGCATATGCCATTCCATTGCCATGGCAATGCACGTGCATAACTGTATTCTTTTAAAATCCGTTTGTGCCGTTCCATTTTTCAAAATAATTTCATAATCATTGTTTTACGCTTGCACAGGTTCGAATCTAACTGGTTTTTAAACCTGATGAAGACCGAAAGTACGGTCGAAAACGTTTGATTATTATTAAATTGATTACTACTGGACGTTTAAAGGTTTTGGAGTGTTAATTTGTTTTATAATAAAATAGCCATTAATCTATGCTAAGCCAAAATATAAAAGAATTCAAATATTGAATAATTAAGAGGTATCTATATTAATTTGAATCCATTTCTCTGCATAACTTGTGCATAAAATACTAATGCTCTTTCAGATCACTAACTGGATTTTGATATATAGTAGAATCCACTTATTGTAATTATTGTTAGTGCTATCAGTTGTGTAATATCCAAATTAGAAAAGTTTTTTTATAAGTTCAGATATAAGATTTTCTAAATAAAGTTGCATAATTGTTAAGGAAGCCGTTATTAAAGATTTGTTAAAATCTTTTCAGCCTTCTCTTCTGCCAGCTTTAGTTAATTGCACCAAACTAAAGTCAAGAGTATCTTTTTGTACAGATCAGATTCTAATAAATCCTGATTCTTGGAATCATAATTTCTATTATACTCATCATTGGAGAAAAAAAATCATGTAAAGTTTCCCAGATTTTTTCATGGGTCTCTGGGAAAACTGCCCTATTTAGGAATTAGTCCTTTCAGCAGGTATCCCTTAGCAAATTTAATCATAATGTTGCATTGTCTTATTCCTTCAATCCAACTATTCCAGACAATTGGGCTCACCCCTTTCCAGAAGCTAAAAACATGCAATGTAATCTGTAAATGAAGACCACCATTGTTTCAAACAAATGTGGCTTTCAGTCTTTTGTTAATTTTGTTATTTAGTTGTCTTGCATTTAAATAAGATACTTTAAATATAGGAGATCTAAACAATTGTTTTAAAAATTAAAAATATATTAAAACTTCTTCTTAAATTTGTTTGATAATTAATAATTGAAGTGCATTAGCACAGGCAGTTTAAAAACATTTATTACTCTGCTATGAACTTCAGAAACTTTTTCACTAAGTTTATAATTACAATTTAAAATCGGCAAAGTGATTTTAAACGTCATGAAGTTTTTTTACTTCAGTATCATTTCTATCACTTCTTATGATACTTAGTTTATAGCAGGGAAGGCAAACCTTTGAGTCCTCATGCATTATAAGTCTAATTACTGTCTTTAAAAATGTTCATGTGTGCTGAAGACATCAAATATTGATATTTGAAGAAATGAAAAAAAGTATGATTTCATTAAAATTAATGTATAGAAGCTGATTGATAAAAAGAATGATTGGATGATATACCGTAAGGATGACTGAAAGACAGGTAATAAACTAAAGTGAAGAGTATCTTTTGTACAGGTCAGATTCTTTTGAGATTCTTTTGTATAGATCAGATTTCAACGAAAACGTTTGTGTTTTTGTTGAGGTGCTGGTACTGGATAAAAGGTTTCGTTTGTATTTAATAAACTAAAATCATGTTATGTGCCAGATGATTTCTCCTGGCATGCCACAGGTTCATCAACTGTGGCATATAGCATTTAAACAATCTTATCCTATTCTATTTCTTTTGTTTTAATGTTGGTAATGATACTAAAAATATGTTTTACCTCATTGTATTAATTTCTACACTTTTCTGAGTAAAGTCCGGTTGGACAGTAAGGGTCGTCTTTGTTTAACGGTGTCATTTGTGGTACAGGATCTTAAGAAAAGGAGTTTTGGTCTTTGTTTGCAGCTACTTTGGAGGAAAAAAATTGGAATTCAACTTGGTTTTTGTTTACAAATTGTCTTCTTTTACATTGGATTTCATTTAAAAGTTGCACTGTATATTAATAATAAAATAAGCTTTTTTACCAGTTACCAACAGAAACTTTAAATATTTTTATGAAATGATGAATTCATACAAAAAACTAAATCTTTGTGTCCCTTTGCTAGGCTTGTATCAAACAGTTTATTTAAGCAAATGATATTTTAAGATATTTATAAAAATAATTTTTACATTCTAAACTTAAAATTTAATTCCATTTTTAATAAAATAATCTTAAATTTTGTTTTTGTTTACAGGACTGTTTGATTAGAAGAAATAAGTTCTCTTCTTATATTTATTCAAGAAATTGTGCCAAAAAAACCAAAGGTTGTTATTCATTGTTAATTAGATGTTAAGTTTTATTGGATGTGTTCAATAAAATTGTTTGACTTTAGGTTTGATGAATTTATTTGGAAACTTCTTGATGGGAGTTTGAATTAGCTTCTGTAATTACATTACTATATTTTGTTAATAATTTAAAAAATAAATGCAATTATACTGTTTATCATCAAAATTTCAGGTTAAAATGTTTGGAATTTGGAATATCTAAACCTATTAATAATTATTAAAATAATTATAGGATGTACACTTAACTTTCTAATACCAGTACAATATGAGTGTCAGTTCTTTAAAAGTTGAGGTATGGAATTTTGCGAAAGCGGGGCCCCGCCTCCACAAAATGGTGATGCATTGCTTAGTTAGAAAAATTTTGATACTTTGGATTATGTAAGAGTTTGATTGGTATAATCCAAGGAAAAAATTTGTTTTCATGCAGAAAGTAAGTGCCTTGGCGTGCCTGGCATTAAATTATAAATAATTTTTTCAATATTCTGATGTATGAATTCCATACCTGCAAAAATGTGAGGTATAGTCTTCCATACCTTCCATAGTGGAAACAACACCCTGAGTACAAATAAATCCAAGTAAATATTGATAAAACAACAAATATAAATTCTGACAGGCATCTCCCTCTTCAAAATCCGAGGCAGTACATTTATTTATTCATTGCATTTAATCTTGTTACGTGAACAGCTTAGCCAAATGGCCCTCGCACCATAAAATGTTACTGTGACCAACCAGTAGAATCAGTCTACTACTGATACTTCTACTGTGTCAGACACTGGTTCAGGACATCTTACAGGATTGAACATCGATGTTCTACTGGGCATCGACCAAACATCGACGTGAAATACGACATCGAAATTTAGCTTCGATGTTAAATTTTGTTGCTACTTTTGATCACACTCTTTGAAGCTTAACTCCTGAGCTTTTTGTCGAAAATCTCTGAAATTTGGCAGGGAGGTTTTCTTATTAGAGGGATTGATGATATTAAATTTTTGAGAAAAAAGGTCGAAAGGACGGGGAGATAAAGAAGGTCGTGTGTATTTCAAGGAGGGTGGGAATTGACGATTTTACTCGTTATTAGCATTTACAATTTTTATAAAACCCATCCCTTAAAATTAGGTTTGTCATTTTATAATAGTAAAAAATATGGTATAAAGATTTTTTAAAAATAACAGATGATGCCACCGGATGTTGCCGGATTTTTGTTATAAGTAAATAGAAAAGTCCCGAAGGTCAGTTGATATCTACCCTAAAAATTAACAATTATAATAAAAACAAAGACGACAATTACATTAAAACAAAAAGTATGAATGTATTTTTATGTATAATGTAAAGTTGTTCGAAAGAATTTTTTCGAAGAACTGCTTTTCTTAGATGCGCTTTGTTAACCGCCTTCAACGTGCTAGAATATACTCGGGTCTGTCTGATCTGTACCGTACTTAATTTTTTTTTTCGGAGTGTTTTTTTCTTTTGCAGAATATAAGTAGTGTTTTTGTGTTTTGATTATAGTTGGTTAAAATATTTACAATGAAAAATTAGTTTGACCTTTGCACGTTACGAATCACATTGGTGAAGTTAAAATCCTTCTCATATAAGGTGAAGCTGGACAAAATTGACAGGGGTAGTAGTAGTAGTCTTGTTGAAAAAAATTGTTCTAGAAATACAAAATTTTATCAAAGAACGCAAAAACTGCTGTATTATACAGTAGAGCCTCGATTATCCGACCCCGATTAACCGACACCTCGGTTAACCGACCGTCCTAGTCGGCAAATTTTAAATGTCCGCTAGTGATGTGGCGCTACAATATTTGGCTATGTCTTGGCTACTTTAATATTATTTTTACGTGTTTTAGCTGGCAACACTGGATCGACTATGAAAGGGAGCCAGTATTCAAACGAGGCGTAATTTTCTAATTTTTAATGATACAATAGCGACGATTTTTATTTTAAAAAAAAATTGATAGGCTTAACATGGAGGAAAATTCAACGCGAAGTAGCTTAATAATAGCGAAGTAGCGATATACTAATTACGTGGGATATAATAATATACTACACTAATAATGGATTTTTCATACTTTTCGGTTATCCGACCAACCCCAGTCCCAATTGAGTCGGATAATCGAGGCTCTACTGTATAATAATATACATGTATATTATTATATAATACAACAGTTTTTGCGTTCTTTGATAAAATTTTGTATATATTTGTATGTAAAATATATTTGTAAAGTTTACATATGTCGAAATTTAAATATATATAACTTTACAAATATACATACAGTACTATTATAATCTTTAACAGCTTTATTTTTCGCATATTTCTCATTTAAATGAATTTTTTTTTTTTTTTGTTTAAAATGTCATGGTGGTGACAGACGGCGCTCTGCGTCGTGTAACGTGCAACGAACAAAAATGTTCGTTCGTTTAGACGGCCGTGAACGCGCTGCTCCGTTGCTGCAACTGCTAGCCCCGAGTCATTTTCTGTCGGTCTTTGCTGTTATGTTTGATTTATTGTACGGTAGCTACATCCAAAGTGAGGGTTCAGGTACCGTTCCCGTGATGCATCGCTAACGATCGCCACACTAATAATAATTTATACCGTATTTCAAATACGATACACGTTTGCCGCCAACACAAAGGGTTTTGTCGGCGCAGCATTCTTTATTTCCGATGCTCACGCACGCCTTGGTACTGATACGTGTAATACAAAATAATCTTTACGAATCTTAAACGTAAGACATAAGTTTGACCCATAATTGACAAAAACTTAATCTTTCCAAATCTCGAGACTTTTTAAAACGCCGCGGGATGCGGGACAAATTGTTAAAAATCGGGACTGTCCCGCCAAATGCGGGACGTCTTATCACCTTATTCTAAGAGGTAATTTAATTAATAAGAAACTAATAATTGTGGGAAATGAAAGAAGCGTTGCAGTTGCTCATCAAAAATAGACAAAGAAAACAGAGGCAGTAAGTGCAAGAGACTGATATATAGAAATTGTACTATTAAGATGTGTACAAATTGTGCACTACAGTAGACCCCCAATAACGCGGCTTCATATAATGCGGATTCGTATATCGCGGCGAAAAAATTGCGACCCGTATTCGTATAAAGACGCTAAAAGAGACTCGTAAAATGCGGTAAAACGTCATCGCCGACTCGTGTCGCGACAGGATTGGTCGAATCTAGACCAATAGTGGACGAGCAGCCGAACTACTTGCACCCTACGGAGAGTTTAGGCGGGTAAGTTGAGTTTACTATCGTCTGTACAGTATATAGGCCTAAATTAGGTACTGTAAGTCTAATACAGTACTGTAATTTTATACATTTCTTGTGAAAAGAACATTTTATTTAAGAGCTAATAATATTCCGAGCATCATCGAACGATTTTTATTAGTTAGACAACCGGGAAAAATGGTGGACGAAGTTAAAATTATGATGGCAACGATTGTCATAAACGAACCGGTCAAAAAGGACGAAGTAACCGATACAATAGAGAGGTTGAGGCCGACGTTTTCAACGCGAAAACGTGTACATCGGACGTTCAGCGCCACCTTCCTGGAGGCCTAGACGTTTGACAATAGCGTTTGGAACGTCGATCATGATCCAATTGACGTTCCAAACGCTATTGTCAAACGTCTAGGTTTACAGGAAGGTGGCGCTGAACGTCCGATGTACACGTTTTCGCGTTGAAAACGTCGGCCGCAATCTCTCTATTTATTTAAATGGAAGCTGCGTCAGACCACGATGGAATTAACGAAGCAATTTTTAATTATAATCAACATAATGGACAGATATCTTCCGTTAAAATGTATTCGGAATCTTTTATACCGACGTTTGATAATTTTACAGTTCGAAGTCATTTTAGAATGAGAGAATAACTTTGTGATTATTATAGTAAAATACGTTTAGTCCAACCCGAGCAGCCATCTTGCGAATCGTACGACGAAACAAAAACAACGACGTCACTAGAAGTTAGCGTAGATAAAAGAAGCTGACTGAACTAGCTAGAACTCTAGCGTTGGGAGGAGTCGAGCAATAGTTAAAAACGAATTGGACATCGCAGCATAACTAGACTTAGCAAAAAATCTGTGTTACAGAACACGGGCAAGGTCTAAAAACATGGAGAACATTACAAAAAGCTGAGTCAAATTTGATACGATTCCAATACTTTCCCTTGTTACATAATAACTGGAAAAGTAAATGTTTGGAAACGCATTTAACTTTATTGCTACAGAATATTTTGTCATAAGGAGCTAAAGCAATAATGTCTTAGTTTTTAGCACGCTCCACTATAGTAGTAGCTTTTTTTTTTTTTTACTCTTTTCACCATGTGGGCACTAAGAGGGCCTATTTAAGCAAGCCCATTTTGGGTTCGGCCAGGCCCACAATGGAGCAGCCGGGTGATGAGGGACGGGGCCCGACGTATCCGGACGGACCAACCCCCGAAAAACTCCTGGGGATTTTTTCACCCGTGCGGATTTGGTCCGTCCGGATACGTATGGCCCCGTCCCTCATCACCCGGCTGTGCCCCATTGTGGGCCTGGCCGAACCCATAATGGGCTTGCTTAAAGAGGCCCTCTTAGTTCTCACAGGGCGGAAAGAATAAAAAAGTAGCTCTCGCCCAATATGAAAGGGAGGCGAACCCGGTTCTCACACTTCCATACTAGATTACCGTAAGTACATTAAGTACAGTTCTAAAATCAGATTTTAGCTTGAAAAATTATTTCTGAACGAATGTGTGAAAGTATTTAAAATTCTACCGGCGATTTTGAATTTGTCGGGAAATTGGCTATTTTTTGGCGTATACCGCAAACATATACCGGTAAAAAAGTAAAGCATTTGGCATTTCACCGAACCTCGTGGAAGTGCATTGTTCTCCGGAGTGGAGCTAAGGCTGCGAGGCGACTTGCACTAGATTTTATTGGAAAAAATAAACAAACATGTCTTTAGGTGAATTATCGTGTGTTTANAAAGAGGCCCTCTTAGTTCTCACAGGGCGGAAAGAATAAAAAAGTAGCTCTCGCCCAATATGAAAGGAGGCGAACCCGGTTCTCACACTTCCATACTAGATTACCGTAAGTACATTAAGTACAGTTCTAAAATCAGATTTTAGCTTGAAAAATTATTTCTGAATGAATGTGTGAAAGTATTTAAAATTCTACCGGCGATTTTGAATTTGTCGGGAAATTGGCTATTTTTTGGCGTATACCGCAAACATATATCGGTAAATAAGTAAAGCATTTGGCATTTCACCGAACCTCGTGGAAGTGCATTGTTCTCCGGAGTGGAGCTAAGGCTGCGAGGCGACTTGCACTAGATTTTATTGGAAAAAATAAACAAACATGTCTTTAGGTGAATTATCGTGTGTTTACAGTACTCTAATATTGCAAGACGACAATGTTGACGTTACAGTAAGTTATAAAGTCATTTTTTGCTTAACAGTTGTATTTTTCGCTTGTTGATTTGATCTCGGATTTATATATGCTTTTCTCCAGTCATTTATACATTATAATATCTCTTATGTTTATGTAAATTCAATAAACATTTTGATTTATCGATTGGAAAATGTGTTGGAGGCGCCATCTTGGAATAGAAGTCATTTGCACGGAAAATTGAAAGATAATCACAGTTAAATTAATGGAATGAGTTGAAAATAGTTGACTGTTTCGAAAGTTAATTAGATTAAAATCAATTTAATAATTTGAGAGGCTTTATTTAGATTCGATTACTTCGGATTGAGGTGGATTGGATAATTCGGGTTTTACGGTAAAGTAATTGTTTATAAGCCATACATCATAACTGAAGTAAATTGCTTATAACGTTTAATGTTTTAAAGTTGCTGTTTTGAAGCTGTGCTTAGTAATTACAAACTTGCAATTATAAATAAGAGTACTCAAACAAAAAGTCAAAAGAACAGGAACTGTAAATTTGTAAATGACATTTGGCAAGATGTTATGAAATTTACCTGCACGGTTTCAAATGGCTCGAAAATAAATTTGCAGACGAAATATTTGAATGGTAACTTTGCGGTTTATTGTTACCTCTCCGAGAGATAGCTAAAATGTTTATACGACAAATGTGTTGTCGATATGAGGTCGGTACCGTACGTCGATATATACTTGATCCGGGCACGGCGGCGAAGAAAGAATAATAATTTGGGATTAGAGATGTTGCCGTAAAAGAAATCCAAATCTGTACGTGGCCCTTTGTAGGATGAGGCACCATTTACGGTATTTTTGCGGAATGACTGGTGTGCCGGTCTATTCGGGAAGACCGTGAAATTGGATATTTCCGTGTGGTAAGAGCCGGTGTGCTGGTTTAAGTGAAGTTATAGAATCCTCTCTACAGGGAGCATTAAAAAAACAAAGAGTTTTTATACTAAAACTGAAATGCGACATTACGTTAAAAGTTATGATTATATGTTTAATTTCTTCGTTTTGTCTTCTTCCTAACAAAGTAAAATACTCTTGGAATTTCAAAACGTCTTGTAAACCAGGGCTGTGGAGTTGGAGTCGTGGAGTTTTGGTGTTTTAGCCGGAGTCGTCAAAAAATTGCCGACTCCGACTCCTTTTTACTTCCCAACTTGTTATGTATATAAAATGGAAAAGTATTGGAATCGTGTCAAATTTTACCCTCCAGGTTTGTTTTTGCAAATCTATATGTTGGAGACCTTTTGAACCCCTCAAAAAAGTCAATAAAGGGGAAAAAATTCACGCGCGCATGTGTATCTAATTTAAGAAATTAAACAAATGTAATTTGTTTAATTTCTTTATTTTCTGTTTTGAGCTATAAAACAATATCTCAGAATGGGTAAAGTTTAAGAAATGAAATGTGGCACTGTGGCTTGCATATAAAGGAGCATTGATACTATTAAATTTTGGTTCTTAATTAAAGGTCGACAGGATGAAGACATAAAAGGGGTCATGTGTCATATCTCTTAATGAATATTTTACTCGTTATTAGCGTTCAAAATTTAAAAAACTAAAATAAAACTAGTCTCTACCCTCAAAGTAAGCTTTTTTTGTCATCTATAATAGTACAGTAAAACCCGTTAAGATGTTCTTGCCTAAGATTTTAGAATGTATATGGGGACACAATTTAGTTCAACCACTTTGACACTTAATAACTAACTCCTGTGTCCTTATCTGACTCCGATTCTGACCACAGAAATTATTAGGCTTCAAACAGGGTAAACAAAATTATGCCCCTCACACACAGTCTGACATCCACACATATAGAAAAAAAAACTCAAATCTTTTGCATATCTCAAAATTTCAAGGTGTGCTGAGTCCAAAAATGTAAAAATTTGGAAAGGGTCATTTTTTGGCCGAGCGCTACACTTGTATAACAACCGGAAAAGTAAAAATTATTGAATACATATTTATATATTACTTAGAGGAGTCTTTTAGTGTTGGAATAAAAAGTTTCTACATTCTATCTTTATTAGAACTCTATTTATTGAATCTTTTAATCTGAGATCATGTGATGACAGAACTTCCGGGTCTCTTTCGATAACAAGTCCTCCCTTAGTCGGAGTTGGTAGATTTTTACACGACTCCACAGCCCTGTTGTAAACGAAAACTCTCTTCCTGATTATGTCTGTCAAGTTCGATGTTGTTTTATTGTACTCTGAAGAATGTTTTCTTTAATGTTTAATTAACGACTAGTTTTGTTAGATCTGGTTAATTTTATATTTGTCAGTTTAACTGGCATGTTGGTCCACACTGTTATGTGATATGTGGGTTAAGTTACTTCCGATTTTTTTTCCTTGTAGTTTACAATATGTTAATGATAATTTTTTAAATCCACAAAATTTCATATATATATGTTTTGTAGTTTGCACACATTTGTTACAAATTTTATTTAACTTTCAATTTAATTGACATAAGGTCTTTATAAATCACGTAAATCAAAAAATTATTTTAATCCAATAATTAAAGCATTTAAGGAAAACATCTAGGATTTTAGTGTATTTCTACATTGCATATAGTTTTGTTAAGTGTGCACTTCTATAATATAACCCCTGCATAAGTTATGATCATGCATTAAATGTATATTTCATTCTTATTAAAATAACATTTTATGTATTATAATGATTCATTGACATTATATTGCCAACACGCTATTTTTGTTTAAATTTTCAGAAATAAACATTAAATTTTTGAAGTCAGTTGTGAAAACTAGACTATATGGTGGATAACTAGGTACAAAAATTTTTGAAGTGGTACTATTACTAAATCTAAAAACTATTGTATTTGCATTCCTACAGTGGTATACTATTTACAAAAATTTGCATGGCTTTGATACTGTAATAACAGGTCTTTGTTCATTTAAATTGCAGTCATTGTTAATAGATGACTGGAATTATTAGTATACTTTTGTCTGGTATGCCAGTTTGAACTATTTACAAGGGGTGCATATACTTTTTGTTTTGTATGGATCAATCTGTAAAATCAGATCAGTCCTTGTCACATGATACAGATAGCTTCTGTCATGGCAGAAAGTATACAAGTAGGATCGAAGATAGCAGCAAGTTCAGGAATCTTTTCAGAAATGTTATTGGAATTAGATTCAGAATCTGAAGAAGAAGAATTAATTTTGGTTAAATTAATTAATTAATTATTTAGCACAATATAAAAGTAAGGGTGGAGAAAAAGAGCATGGCCAAGAGGTCTTCATTCCCTGAACACTGGGAGTTCGATGGGCTTGTGCCTCGTTCGGACGTGGCGTTTTCCAGTTTTCTCCATGTCTGTAATGCCTAAATAGGGGCCAGTTTCCCTTAAAAAAACCTCCCAGAAGGCATCCCCCTAGGCAGATTGCCCAAGTGTTGCATTGAAGGATCTTGTTCCCATTTTATTACAATCAAAAGAAATATTATAGTAATAGGAAAATGAAGAAATTCACTGTCAGTTAACCAGCAACTTTTAATGTCACTGTGGCTGCTTACCAACCAAGAATCTTTCGGGGTACCAGTAAGCAAAACGATAGATTTTACTGATTGAGATAATTCTGTACTAAGTGTACTGTTGTTTTCACACACATTACAGAGGAGTTGGAGACATATTTGGAGTTTGTTGGAGGACTGCATGGATATGACTGATGAAAATTGTTAAGAGCTATGTTCTGAATACACAAAACCATAATATAAATTGTCCTTCAGCTCAGAAGGCAAGGAAAACTGCTCAGATGTTTGCTATGAAATATTAGTATTACTGGAGTTATTGGCTGTGTGGATGGGAAGCATATAGCAATCAAGACCCCTTTAGAGGAACTTGAAGCATATATAAATAGAAAGGGATTTCACTCCTTAGTTCTACAGGGAGTATGTGATGAGAAAATGTACTTTATTGATTGTTACATTGGTCTGTACAAGTTAGCTCTGTTCATGACTGCACAATATTTAAGCAATCTGAAGTGTATGCAGTGGTGATGGCTTTCCACATGTAGATTTTCATGTCATAGGAGATGGTGTGTACCAACTTTCAAAGCACTTAATAGTCCCCTACAGAGACAATGGTTTTTTTAACTTCTAAAATTATATTTAACAATTAAGTTTTCATCATGTCGACATGCTATTGAGAGAGCATATGTTCATCTAGTTTTTTTAGAATGCTGAAGTTTTTGGATATGTCTCGCATGGACTTAATGTAGAACTTATAGCTGTGCGTTTTGTACTTTACATAACATATGTGTTCTACAGAATGATGAATCAATATGGAGTAATGATGAAGAGAGAGTAGAAAATGGAGTGCAAATAACAGAAGTGGAAGAAAATGTGGCAGAGGAGACAACATATGAACAAGACTGAGAAATGGGATATTTAAAGAGAGAGCAGATAATGTTAGAAATAATGTCACAAGCAAACAGATACAGNTATGGAGTAATGATGAAGAGAGAGTAGAAAATGGAGTGCAAATAACAGAAGTGGAAGAAAATGTGGCAGAGGAGACAACATATGAACAAGACTGAGAAATGGGATATTTAAAGAGAGAGCAGATAATGTTAGAAATAATGTCACAAGCAAACAGATACAGGATAAATTAATCAGCTCCTCAATTCATATTTTTCTAAACTAAATTCATTAGTGAAATTATTTATATTAAAACCAATTAAACTAAATTATGTTGAATTTTTGTTTTTGTCTGAATCTGTTATGTTATAGCTCAAGAACTGTGTACAGGGTCTAATTAACAACTAGTTTTGTTAGATCTGGTTAATTTTATATTTGTCAGTTTAACTGGCATGTTGGTCCACACTGTTATGTGANAAATGTGGCAGAGGAGACAACATATGAACAAGACTGAGAAATGGGATATTTAAAGAGAGAGCAGATAATGTTAGAAATAATGTCACAAGCAAACAGATACAGGATAAATTAATCAGCTCCTCAATTCATATTTTTCTAAACTAA